AGCCAGTGAGGGCCAGACAGCGCTTCCGTCCAGACAGTTGGATAAGTCTGCGGATTGTGCACTTGGAGATGCGTTGTCCGATTGATGTGACTCATTACCGCATGAAGCAAACATTCGGTAGGTAGGCATTCGTCTATTTTTGTTTTGATGCGTTTTAGTCGATCTGCATTGTACTTGTGCAGATTGGAGTGCGATGATTTTGTTACTAGAATATACTTGTGGTTCTCTGTATCTGGCTTTCTGTCTCTGTATCAATCCTGACTTTTTAATGTGGGAGTACTCCACGTCGCAGCATAAGGGACGCTCACGGCGCAAAGGCATTAAGAAGATGACGTCATGTAGGCAGTGTAACTAAAACACTGTGAAATCTGACGATTTATTCGTAACAATTATCTCAGCAAACTTATCGCAAACAACTGGAAGCAATGTGACGAAACGCACCCAATCCGTATGGCACGCATTTTTTTCAAATATGCTGCCAGCTGATCCATGTATTTTTGCATAGCGTAGCTAGAGTTATTTGCGCAAATGGGTATATTTGTATTGCCAGTGTGACCTAGGGAGAAACTTACTTGACATATCATAATTGAAGTGAGATGACTAAATTAGTACTGAAGAAGGCATGCTAAATGTAAAGGTGAGTTTTGCCGCAGGCGTTTCCACTTTCGCTACACAAACTAAGCTCATTGTGAGATTTAGTACCCCTGAAGAGGAATTGCCAAGGACAAATGACAAAGGACAAGCCAAGCTGACAAGCGTGGGTGCCATAATACAGATATGTTTCATCTAATTCGAAGTTCTGATATGGGAGGTAGCGCTCTGTTGTCGTTTTCATTTCAAATACAAGGCGGTGTGTTTCATTTCCTATGCGGAAGATATGTACGAGAAAAAGGCCACGGCGGACATTTGTATTTTGTCTCTATATAACATACACAAGCCACAAAAGACATGCTCAACACAATCATGAGCATATTACTTGCGTCTGATGTCTGTGCAAATTAAACTCCTCAGCAAACAATATCCATTATTTTGGAACTCATTACATAGCACGAGAGAGCGGCAATAAGATAATTTCGGCCCGTGGTAGCTGTCGCATTTTCCGAGGTCGACCAAGGCCCTGAAACATCATCCAGGCTCAAGTGTGGTGTGATTTGTACCACATGTCGCTTGGTTGGATGGGGAAGCAAAAACCGTAATCTCTAGATGATGCTTGGCTGTTTGCTTGGCAAAGCTGATCGGATGTACACTTCGCAGTTTGTTCGCATTTCGATCGCTACACCTCGCCGCTGCTTGGCGAATCAATTTACCTATTCTACTAAATTTGGTAGGTCTCCACACACCTGTTTTTGAGAGATGTGTGGACAAGAAGGCCAACTTAACTGTAAAAGCGCAATGGGCTGAAGCCTTCGTCTAATTCACTGAGCACTGGACTTCAGCGAGCCGAAAATCTTTAACCGTATGCTCGCGCTAATGTTTTAAGGCATACCACGCTATACCGTGAAATCTGATGACAGCTTATTGCCCAATGTTTTACGACAATAAGGGAATCAGGAAAATCAAACATGTGATATGGTTCACACGAACCTTTAAAGTCCTAGCAGTTTACACGTGGGGGCGGGTTGGCACGGATTCATTTGACCAATTTTTATGCAGAGCTGGATCGAATCAGACTCGATGAATGAATTTCAAACAAGTGGCTTTGCGAGCTGGCCGGATTCTCAACAGCAGGAGCAGACTAGACCGGAGACCGTACGTTCAATACGCCAAGCTCTCCGCCAACAACCGCTGCAGTCGGTAGGCTGCGCCGCATGATAATGTCGCTCAGCGGCGCAGCATACGTTCCCAGCCTGTTTGTTGGCAATTCGGCTTATTTCAGCCGCACATGGAGAAGGCGCAGGTAAAACGACGAAGACCTGCCAGGGATTCGCTAATTTTGAATGCCAGTGTTATGTGTGATTCGTATAAACACGCGCTCGGGTGGGGGGGGGGGGTCAAATTGCCCGCCCCCAAAGGTTTTTCCAGAATGGTTTCCGAACGGCGCGGCGTAGCCGCGCCAAATTTGACATAGCTGTAGACAATTAAATAGCGGATCACTTTACATCAAAAATTTCGATTTGACTTGTAAGGTCGCTGACCTATGGCAGGTCAAAGTCAGGCCATGGTTTCAGCAAAGGCAATTTCTAGGAATCGTCCAATCTGATACAATAACGGAGTGTTTGACAAAGCCATACATCTCTGAGATGCTTTCTTAGGCACCACAAATATTGAATGAGCAAATTACTTTGACCTAAGGTCAGTTATGAAGGTCAGACCAAGGTCATAGCCAACCTGATTTATTACTCTAGGGCTTGCTGTATTGGAAAGTTTGTGGTGCTCATTTCGAACTTAGTGACAACAGGGACCGCATTATACATCTTCCATTGACCTCTTAGAGGTCAGAAAAGGTCATTGACCTAAGATGACCCGGGTAGACATTTTGTTTTAGGAACATGCTGCCAGGCGTAATCTCTGTTGCTTTTTCAAATGCAAAACTCAAAGCAGTCTTGTATGATTTTGGTCACCATTACCTTCACAAGGTCAAAAAAGGCCACTGACCTCGATTTGACTTTTAACCTTTTGCTTAGAAACAGTTGCCTAGGTTCGGGGGGCACTTTGGAGACCAGCCTGGTATTTGACCTTGTTTGATCTTATTTGACCTGAAGGTCCTGACCTAGGAAGCTCAAACTTTGACCTAAGTGAGTTCACATACATGTCAAGACACCATAAAAATTTGGAATGACCAACTGTGTGAAATAAGCAATGGACAGCATTTTATTGCGAGCAAGCTTATTACCAAACTTGCCGACGACTGGCAGCAGTATACGCTGTGACATGTTTGCCTGGAGCTTTACTAAGAGCCGCAATCGGTATCATGTTATCTAGGCTGCTACCAATCAGCCCACATCGCTTATTGCAAAGCATGTGTCTTCAGCTTTAAGCCCAACAAAATCGCGAGCCAGCACGATGTTGAATAACCCGGCCGTAAATACAGCGCGGTGAGATAGCATCCGTGGAGCGGGACCAGTGTCTGACGGGCAATATTCCGCAGCTCGGTCGTTTGCTACAACCCTGCGACACCCCGCTCTGTGTTATGGCATGGCTTAGGGTATTCCTGCGGGCTGGCCGGGAACCGGCTGCCGCCATCGGTCCACCGAGAGGAGCGGACCCGGCGGACGTGGGGCCGAAGAGCGGACCCGACGGACGTGGGGTCGAAGAGCGGACCCGACGGACGTGGGGTCGAAGAGCAGACCCGGCGGACGTGGCGCCGATTAGCGAACCCGGCGGACGTGTGGCAAACTAGACGCCACTCAGATCACTGAGCTGCCCGGGTGAGTCTCGGGGGTAAAATTCCTCTCGCTTAACGACTATAAACGAGATGTCTTCGTTATCGCAAACTTGGAAGGTCATGGCCCTTTTATACTCGGAGCATAATGGCAGGGACCGTCGGGAGGGCCGAAATATAACTAGCTATCTCAAAAGGGCTTCACCACATTAAATCGTCCATTCCCTCTCAACGTCAACATCATACGAACTAAAACTTCCAAGAAAACCGGGTTGGCTATGGCCAGTCCAGCCCCATTCATCCAGTGCCTATGATTTACGCTAAAAGTCAACCAAAGGCCAACTGCATTCGCTGGTACCACGACAGAGCCAGACATTATCCAGCTGTGCGATAGCAGCTACTGAGCTGTCACGCAAAGCATGTCCAGCGTCTCAGTGTCACACATTCCTACAGTCTTCCTTTCCTGGCTCGTGCAGAGGGCGGTCGTCTACGCACCTAAGTGGTCACTATAGACGGAGGTTTTTACCGTCCCATCAGATGAAGCCGGTGCCGCCAGTGGCGCAGCCAGCAGGGGCTTATGAGCTCCCCTTCCTTCCTGTCGCGTTCGATCGCAGTTTTTCGCCACGGCACTATGGAATACTGGTTTGAAGTATCATAAACACTAGCATTGACATCGGCATGTGGAGATCAACAGTCGTGATTTAATAGCAAGAACAGCTGGTAGTCGAGTGAATATGTACGGTTCGCAGATGAAACAACTGCTTAAGGCACCAGAACAAATCAACATGAATAGCCCATCGGCACACAGCGCGTATGCAAGCACCTACGTACTGATGGCTGCGCCCCTGATGGCCACTGATTGTTTTATATCGTGGGGTAAATAAACTTCGCCCAATCAGCGTATTTTTGTGCTCACTCTAGGACAACGCAAAGTTTCTTAATCGAAGAAAATTACTTAACACCATATATACGCATCTGCTAGAATCGAGCATAATACAAGATCGGAAATCAGCTCTGACTGTATCCTAAGAAATGTCAGATCATCTAAGTACACGAAAGATAAAGCAAGCTGGAAATAAATCAGGCTCGAATATGACACGTGTGTCGTTTTGTATTCTTCATTTCGGTTGGTGCCCGGGTTCAAATAATTTGCTATTGATTGGGCAATCCATTCCCGTCGAATTCCGAGCTGCATTCAACAACCAATGTCGAGTTTTCCACATTTCGTCATTTTAAGCAGCACTCTCCTGGAAAGCTTCAGCAAATTATAAATTGGGTCAAGCCAGTGAGTTGCAACCAGAATCCTATTGAATGGCCCCAATAATGATGTTAACAAAGCTCTCCGGACTGCGCCGAGTGATCAGCAAGTTCCATCGCCCCGTCATTAACCGGGCTCTGACTCTGAGCTCGTAACTGAACTTCATTCATTGCAAGCTGCAATCTCGTAATCAAAGGCTCCCCAAAAGTCATCCTATGCAAAAGCTTACAATATGCGCAGCCCATAAAAAGTGCCCCATGAGTAGATGGTCATATTCCTAACCAGCTTCAAAGCAACACCACAACAACAATACGGTTCACGACATCTCTTATTAGCAATCCGCTCTGCATAAGCAGCACGAGAGAAGGCGTGAGCCGAGCCTGTGGCAGCCAGCGGCCTGCTGCCGCGCGCGGGACTCACTGGAGCTGCACTGTCCGCGGTAGATGATGCGCAGGGGGCGGCGCCGGCGGCACGCCTCCACCTGCATCAGACACTCGGACGGGTAGGTGAGACCGTCGCTGGCGCACACCGGCTCCAGCTGGCGCTGGCACTGGCTCGAGCAGCGGCACGAGGCGCGGCGCTGACCGTCCAGCTGGCACACCTGGTACTCCGGGCACGAGGTCCTGACGCATGGGTCTGCGGGCGGAAGGTGGCGTCAGAGGCGGCGGCGGCTCTCGCGGCGCGCCGCTGGTCACAGTACTGCGGTGCCAGTGGCAGCGCGGGGTGGGCAGGAAACACAGAGGGCCGCGGCTTACAGCCTGGCCTGACGTAACGATAGTGTCAATATGAACAGGTCTGGCCTGCCGCGCGACTGGGGAAGAGTGGGCGCTGAGCCTGTGCCTCTTCAGGGTGAAGCTGCCCTTGTGGGTAGGGCATATGCCCTTAAACCCTAATACTCGCATCACAATTGCACTTAACACAAATGCTTGTACAAGCTCTAAGGGATAGAGTTGACATCACTGCAGGTCGCGGTCTGTGACGTAAAGCTGTTTTCCTTACAGCAATTTATACAACTAATAATAATACAAAGAAACGTGTCTGCTTGGCTTGCCAAGGGCATCGCCTGTTCCTACCCTAAGCCAGACCCAGGCCCAGGCCCAGACCCAGACCCAGACCCAGACCCAGACCCAGACCCAGACCCAGACCCAGACCCAGACCCAGGCTAAGGCCTAGGCCCACACTCAGTCCTAAGCCCAGGTCCAGGTCTACGCCAGGTCGGGCTACCCTTAACGGCAGAAGGGAGATTCTAGACACCGGCCCAGGTGGACTCGACAGACACCTGGCGGCCAACGGTCGAGGCTGCTTGCGCGGTGAGAGTGGGCGTTGTCGGCTCCTCCGTGCTCTCAGCCGCCGCCGACAATTATGCCGACCAGCATCGATTTTACAATCAAGTTTGGAGCCCATTTACGCCATGGATGAAGAGCCGATGGGTTGGAAACTTCCGGTGCCGATAAACTGAGGAGCTGGCGACTGGCAAGCAGGAAAACAAGGGAGCCAGGGTATGGAGAGGAAAGGACGCAGTTTGTGTACTGCGATTTTGCAATTTTAGCTTTATTGTTTTCTAATTTCACAATTTTAAGTGTGAAACAGATGAATCTATATATACAATCAGCATGACGTTGTGACTGGAATCAAGGAAGCCGAGTTGCTGATTCTGGAACACCTAGTGGTCGAGCACCAGGAGGCCAACTTGTCTGCTAGGGGACAAAAGCAAAACACTGCTGGCCAAAGTGGTCAAGACTGTATCTCATTCATAATAATGGTACATAATGCTAGAAGACAAAATCCGAAATGCTTATTTATGAAACGAGTGGACGCGTGATTGATGTGTGTATTGTAGTCAACGGCCCAATGGAAAACATGTCCGCGTCTCCCGTCAATGACGCAAAAGTTCGTGACGTATCGGTCGAGTAGGGTGGCAAATGGACAATGGACCCCGGACGGTTCTGCAACACAGTGCCCTTTGGGCCCGTGGCATGCTCCTTCCAGGACACGGAAACCAGCTGTTGGAAAAAAACACTGCCTTGATATCCCTTGAGCTATGTTTTTAGCCTTGACCCCGTTACCAGCCGGTGGCGACCTGCCACTATGCCCCATCTTCTCGGTGGTCATGCTGTCAGCCCAGCTGGTGTTGTTTTTCTTCATTAGGTGCGGTGCGCGGCGCGGGAAAAACATTGACTTGGCCGCTGGCGTGACGCAGTCCCCGACACGACGCATCCACTAAATTCAGACGCCAGCGGCGCCTTTGTTTTCCAGCCTGGCCCACGTCGACCACGCCCACTAAAAGATTGCCTCTCCTCCGGGCCGTAAATAAACTTTGATCTCGGTGCTATAAGGGCGGGTGATCAAAGACGGGGCGCGCCGACCAACTGCCGCTGATCCGGGGATGATCATGTTTGCAGCTACTCGGCCCACGCGCCGATCAGACCGGGCCGGGCCTGGGCTAAGCGGGACCGGATGGGCGAGGCTGAGCGGGGCGGGGCGAGGCGGGGCGCTCCGCAGGCCGACTTGTGTCTACAGGCGACCGTGACCGGCCGGGGCGGCCGTCAGCCGCCGCCGCCGGCGGGCCTCGCCACCCGGGTGTCGTGAGGTGGCCGACCAGCGCGCCGCCAAATGGCGATCCAACGATGACATAAAGTGGTGGGAAGCCTTCATTTCACGCTCGGTGGCGCCTCGCCCCGCCCGGCCTCTGCGACGGGACAAATCCGGCCTCCAGCGGCCACGGCGGGGTCACCAGTCGGCGGCGGGTGTCATGAATAAGGCATCGGCGGCGATTAATACGCGCGGCCGGGAGGGCGCGGCCGTGACGCCGGCGCCGGCTCTCGGGCGGCGCGCCCGCCGCGTCGGCCATCATGTCGGCATGACGGATGGGCCCGCCCGCCGGATCGGCGCGGTCCCGCTCCGACGGACCGAGACGCCGCCGCCGCCGCCGCCGATCTCCAGAGCGCGCCGATCCACACAGCGCCGCAGCGCAGATCCACACAGTGTAGGGGGGGGGGGGGGGCAGATCCACACAGCGACGCAGGGCAGACCCACACAGCGTGGGACAGCAGATCCACGCAATGTTGAACAGCAGATTCGCAAAGTACGGCCTTGGCAGGGTGGATCCCCACAGCACGAAGTGAGAGGGCAGATCCGACGGTGCGGAGTGGAATGGCAGATCCCCACAGCGCGGAGTGGAATGGCAGATCCCCACAGCGCGGAGCGGAATGGCAGATCCCCACAGCGTGACGTGGAATGGCAGATCCACACAGCGTGGCGTGGAAGGGCAGATCCACACAGAACGGAAGGGTAGCTAATCATAGCGAACGACTGTCTATTGCGATGAACAGGCAGATAAACGTACTTTCGGAAATCAGGGAAGTGACGACGACCGTAGTCACTTCGCGATCAATCGCGGGACGCTGCCGGCTTGAGTTCGTCAGAGGTCAGCACGGGCGATTTTAAAAAGCAAGGGCCTTCAAAATTTGTAATGGTATATTGCTTTGAAATTTCACGTCCTGAGAAGGAAGCATCGATTGCGAATTGTATTTTCATTAATATAATTTCAGATTGCCTTTAGCGGGTCAAACGTTGAACCAGAAAAGCCTCAAGCGGTCACTGTGAGTGAGTTATCGTGGTGCTTAAAACATCTGTGAGCTGTTGTTTGCACACTTCCGATTTTTTCAACCATGATTGTTTCCAAAACCTTTGCATGTTTTTATGTTATGGTCTCATCTTTTGCTTTTATAAGCCAATTTAAAACTGAGTCTCAACCATTTCTCTTGAAACCAAAGTCAGAACTAGAGTCTCCTAAAATGAAACAGCCGTAATCAGCGATGGGTCCCGGGAGTGTGTGTTTCATTCAAGTCACGATTCAGTTTCCAAAAATGCTGGCCAGAATTGATAAGATTCACAAAACGCTAAATTGCCCGATGGCCTGTTGATCGGTCCCATACAGAGAGAATCGGCCTCGATTCCAACCGGGCGCTCCTGGCAGTCCCGCCAGTTGGCCGTCTGCTGGCAGTGCTTCTGACCGCTAGCTGTCCGTCTGCTGGCAGTGCTTCTGACCGCCAGCTGTCCGTCTGCTGGCAGCGCTCCTGGCCGCCCCGCCAGCTGGCCGTCTGCTGGCAGCCCTTCTGGCCGTCTTCTGGCCGTCTGCTAGCAGTGCTCCTGGCAGGAGCGGATGCGAAATGGACAAGCCGAGGAGCTGCTTTCCTTCGGGGGGACTCGCAGTAAGGTGACTCGTCCACCGACACCTGGTCCAATGGGAGTTTAGACTCTGATCCAAGGCAAGTCTGGGGTCGGTGGGGCCACGAGTCGACTTTCAACTGAGCGCGGATCTCGGAGGCAAATACCACAAAACATCTCGCCGAGGGCGAGAACGTGCAGTTCTGAGTTGTATGCGCAGCCAGTGAGAAAGGTTGACTAAGCATAGTACGTCAAACGAGATCTGCGTCACATTGATTTCCCTTGTATCCGTCGTCGCGCCAGCTTATTTTGAAATGACTGACGTTAGGACTCTTTGAACGTTCCTTATCACGCCTCGCAAGTTTCAAAGCTAATTTGCTTGTCCTCCGACAACCACATCCCTTTCAAGTAATATAACTCACCGGGAGTAATTTCCACTACTGAGGAAAGGAAGGCAAAACGAATGCAGGTCAAAGACGCACCAAGTAAGGCAGCACCAATACACCAAACTCCAGCGGTGGCGGCTCAAACAGTGGCGGCCGCCGGCGCGCGCTGGTGTGTTTGCCGCACGTCGTCGTCAGAAGCGGCGGCCATGTTTGACAGGCGGCGGCCGCCACAAATTGGCGGCGCCCTCGTGCGCGCGTGGCCATCAAGCGGGGACGCCCCGGCGCCGTACTGAATACCGCCGCTTAATGGCGCTCATTAGCATCTGAGAGCGGGCGCGGTCGGTCGGGTCGCCGCCGGACCGGCCCTGCCGCCGTGTTCCGACAGTTAGCGCGATTTATCGGCCACGCTGCCAGTGTCAGGACCGGAGGCGCTGTCCAGGGGTGCGGGCCGATCTTCCGCCGCCGTCCACTCGGCCGACGGCGGACGACGGCGACCGGCGGCGGCGCGTGCGGCGGGAGCCCAGGGGAACACCTCGAGCTGCCTGACCGGGCTCTGGCGACCATTTTTCTGAGCCGAGGAGAGTTGTTTGTCGTCAGGGGCTCGGAGCCGACATCAAGCACCGCCATCGCCAACTTTGTCAGGGACATCTTGTTGCGAGGGCTTAGTCGTCAGGAAGTTTCGACGCATAAGGTAAGTTGGACACCATCAGATGGCGGGAGCTTTCAGGTGGGACCCAGTAACGGAGGCGCTGTGTATATACCAGAGATGGTCCCCATACACGAAATGGGTTTTCAGTATGGCCGGCGAGCACAGCGAATAAATGCAGTGGCATTCGGAAGTTACGAAAACCAGAACTCCTCAACAGGAACAGCGCTGGCTTGGAGCCCTGGCAGATCTTATTCGGAAGAATTCGCCCATTTCAAACCAGAAATGTGCGAATCATTTCTCTTTCGTTTCTTCCCAAGAGGTGACTAGACCTTTCTTCGTAAACTCTGAAAGTTAATCCTTTTAATGTAAGCAGCGATGTGTCCGAAGCCCACCACGTTACGAACGCGTTATTTGCGCTCGCATGTCGGGACGAGCTCAGCCCCGACCACGCCATCTCTCACGATCATCTCTCTCGGCGCTGTCCCGCGCCACGACCCATGCAATTGCCAGCCGCTCCCGCCACAGCCCCCGCCCTTGACGCAGCTCGCGGCTCCCACCCCAGCCCCCGCCCTTGACGCAGCTCGCGGCTCCCGCCCCAGCCCCCGCCCTTGACGCAGCTCGCGGCTCCCGCCCCAGCTCCCGCCCTTGACGCAGCTCGCGGCTCCCACCACAGCCCCCGCCCTTGACGCAGCTCGCAGCTCCCGCCCCAGCCCCTGCCCTTGACGCAGCTCGCGGCTCCCGCCCCAGCCCCCGCCTTTGACGGAGCTCGCGGCTCCCGCCCCAGGCCCGCCCTTGACGCAGCTCGCGGCGGTGCTCACCGCACTCCCCGGTGAGGCGGGCGGTGACGTTGGTGCTGGTGACGCAGGCGTGCCGCTGCAGCTCGCAGAGCGAGTCGTATGTGACCCCGTCGCTGCCGCAGACCCGCTGGCCGCCGAAACTCGGGCAGTCGGTCGGGCACTGGCAGCTGGCGGTCGCGCCGGCGGCCACACACCGCCCGCCGAACGGGCACTCCATGTCTCGGCACGGGTCCAGCGACTCTGCAAACAGGTCATCAGACGAGGTCAGGTCAGCAGGTGAGGTCGCAGGCCGCGGCAACCAGAGGTCGTCGGGTGAGATCATGTCAGCAGGTGAGGTCACATACCACGGCAACGAGAGGTCATCGGGTGGGGTGAAAGGTCAAAAAGCAGTCGTCGGCGGTGAGAGTCAGAGATGAAAGAAGCCGGTAGACTGCAGACTTTATCAACGTGACTGGAATTTGGTCAGGAGTTTGACTCAGAGTTCACAAAAACCGCCATGCACGGGCGACAGCGGAGGCCACGAAGAGCAGAGGTCAGGGAATGAGCTCAAGGGACACCATGCAAACAAGGCCGAAGTCAGACGAAAAATTCAGAACCCACAGAAACCAGACGCCAAGAGACGAAATAAGAGGACAAGGTCAGCGAACGGTCAGAGGTCACAAGAACTTAGACGCTTGACCTGGCATAATGATTTCCATGTCAGGCGCAGCACCAAACGCGCGACCTTGTTCTGACCAATCACCTGGTGCTTCTCGCCAAGCTCTATCTTTATTAGCTTGAAAACACCATGGTGGTCGCATCAACTCCCCCTTCCTTCCCCTACCAGCCCGCGTTATGAAACACGCGAATCATGGTGACTGCTAACATAAGCTAATCGCCTGTTACAGGAATGCATATTTCGACATTTCTACGGAAGTCCTTTTGCATTCCGCTCGACGTTGCTCCAGCACAGAAAGCCGGCGGCCGCTGAGCAAGACCGCAGCCAGTCCCACCGTAACGGCCCGTAAAGTCCGTCGTGTGGGACCATAAAACCGTTAATCAGGAGTGGTGCACCGTACAACCATTTCATCTCGAGCACACCCACCGGGCAAACAAACCCCGTCCGCATGCGAGGCGGCTGAGGAAGGAGACGCGACGCGAGACAAGGGCCGGCGAGTCCTGCCATATAATGTTCCGGGGAAAATATTCTCAATAAGGCCACGGTTTTCCGGGTACATTTCGTATCATGTTCATAAATTCAGCCGGCTGCGCTTGGAGCAGATCTTGTGAAAGGCACTGCAGTGTTGGAAAACGAGATTCCGAAGGCAGCTAGATATTTTGCAGCGATATCGCTTCTGGCTCCGATGGCCCGACTCACACCGGTGGGCTGTGTGAGCTGCTCCGAAGCAGAGGATGGCCCGACTCACATTGCTGGGCTTTGTGAACTGCTCCGAAGCAGAGGGTGGCCCGACTCACACCGGTCGGCTTTGTGAGCTGCTCCGAAGCAGAGGATGCACAGGAGCACCTCTGTACTAAGCCTTGCATTGAAGTGCGATCTATGTGTAGTGGGCTTCGATGAGTCTGACATCCGCGCCCCATGCCGCGCGCGCACCATCACCGAGCCGGCTGCGGGGCGTCAGGCTCTGAGCCAATCAGCTGCCGTGCATAACTTCCGCAGTCTAATCTAGATACCGGCGGCGAGACCCGGGCGGAACCGTGACCGGCGACGTTCCTGAGGTGGTACATCGATCCGGATCGGCCATACCCGCACCGCGTGCATCAGACACATCAGGACACCAAGCCGAACCGCGGGGGAGTGAGTCCGATGCGACGAGCGATCGCAGACTGGTCCTGGCACACACGAGCTGTGGCGACGGCATGTGCCGTGCTCTCTTAAAACGCGAACACGTCGGGCACTGGAAGTGCGATCTATGCGCAACCAGTTTGATCAGTGCCTAGGGCTGTGTCGAGTTGTACCTCATTGCGTTTAAAGAGTGTGGTAAATGGATGCTGTTGAGCCTTTAGATAAGCACATCACCAATTTTGATCCAACACAGACAACAGTTAGTAACGAGTGCGGCGGGCTCTAGCTGATTTGCGACCGCGGCCGGTAGACTGCATTCCAATGGTAATCAAGCACCTGAGTAAGACGAATCTCGGTGCGAACCAAAGCAGGCACACGCGTTAAAATGCAGGCACACGTCTGCAACGCAGCTGCGAGTGTGCGCCTGTGCAGACGCCGGGCGCACCCAGACTTCCAGGCGCGGCTCCGATGCCGCCACGGCAGACACCGAGCTTTCACCGCCAGCAGCTCTGTGCTCTAAAGCTTTTACCCGTGCTCGTGGATTTGCGGTACACGTCGTCGCGCAGCCTTACAATGAGAGCTGATGCTGCGGCTGGCCCAGTGGGACGAAGATTACGACGGGCCCAGTGGGACAGAGATTACGGCGAGACTAGTGGAACAAAGACTACGGCGGTCCAGCGAGACAGAGACTACGGCGAGCCTAGTGGGGCTGAGTCTACGGTGAGCCCAGTGGGACAGAGACTACGGCGGGACCAGTGAGACAGAGACTACGGAAACAGAGACTACAGTGAGCCCAGTGGAACAGAGACTACGGTGAGCCCAGTGGGACAGAGACACGGCGGGACTAATGGGACGGAGACTACGGTGAGCCCAGTGGGACAGAGACGGTGGGACCAGGGGGACAGGGAGTTTGGTGGGACCAGTGGGACAGAAACAGGGAACATAGCACCAGCCGGGAGCTCCATGCGTGGAAATCCGAAACCCCCAACCCCTGAAGCGCTTCGCCTACAGCTGCCGCCCGTGAACGGTGTCTAACTGTGCCGCTAATCATATCACGTACTTTGCTAATCACATCAAAGCTCCACATAGGAGCTAAAGCAACAAGCAACACACCAACTCACTGCAGGAGAAAAGCCGGTGAAACATGAGATGAAGATACCCACTACCTCTCCGAGCAGGATGTTCCCATACGCAGTGCTAACTTTGACGAATGATGCAAATAAAATATAGCCGCCAGCTCTCATCAGATTCATGCGGCTTGGCATGTCCGCAAAAGGTCTGTGCAATCCTGCAATCTCTCGTGACATTATCAGTCACTGAAGCGTGTGACCTATAAACAAAAAGCCTTGGAGACAACGACGGCAGCATCATTTTGATCAGCATCTGGAAACCAGGCATCAAAGGCTTTACAAATCGCACAAAAATGCATTGAAAATCCATGGGTTTTGCCATCGAAATTGGAATCCCTCATCTAAAACGCAAAACCATATCGTGAATCAAGATGTCCACATCATGAACCTTGAAATATCTGACGAGCCGCACTGATCAGACCCTGCAGGCGGCCGCTGAATACCAAGCGGCGTCCAATTGGGGGCCCAATATCGGCGCGAAATCTGCTGACGCCGCTGTGTCGGCCAATCGGTTGCAGCAGCGACATGCGAGGTAGCCGCCGTGTCCGACCACAGTCAGCTCAGCACCCGGGCCCGGAGCGCCGCGAGGAGCGTCAGCTGCCGGCGACGATTATCCAGCGGTGACCGGCCTGTCCCGCAGCCCCGGCGTGGCAGCGTGAGCGACCCTCCCAACCGAAGCAGCTCTCCGACAATGGTGTGCGACACTCACAACCGAAGCAGCTTCCCAACAATTGTACGCGGCCCTCACAACCGAAGTGACTAACAATGGCGTGCGGCCCTCACAACCGAAGCATCAATGCAATCGTGTCAGCCGTTGTATTGATCTCCAGCAATGGTGTCAGCCAAGTGCCATGCAGCCTGCTGGACTGGAGTTGCATGGCTATAAAGACGTCAATTCTAAGCTACAGTGACGTAATGACGTGTTGATTAAGGAGAGAGCGCCAGTTTTCACGCCGAAATTCCACCGGACGCAAGCAGATTCAGTTTAAGTGTGAGCTATTTCATCTGCAAGACCTGCTTTCTCATGGTATTTCGCGATATGTCATATATCTACTTCGGAGTGGCCATTTTTGCAACATGCTGCAGGCACTCCTACCCATCCACCTAACCTACAAGACAATAATACGCAGAATTCGAGTAGCTAGCCAGCACTTCATTTCGAAAAATCAGGAACAATGCTAAATAGTATAGCACAACTGACAAGCATACATGATGTGCACGATTGTGCTGATTGTATGATCTATGACGTACTAAAACTAGGTGCATATTGATGTTCTCTTGACTAGCATTGTGTGCCAACGCACCATTTCAAAACCCATGATAAATGCCGACCAGCATGGCTGCTTGTGCCTTTGAACTCCATGAGTACCCACTTTACGGAACTTTATTGAAAACCCTTGCTACCATCATGAGCACTATAAGGATTAGTGCTTCGCTATAATGCGTCATACTGTATTGTGGTCCATTTCAGTGCCGCTGAAACACTTAGAACACCCTGGTATTGGGCCAATTGATAAACTGATGCATCGCTTTCTAAGCATACTGAATGTTACACCTCTCAAAACACTTTACTCAGTGAGGAGATGAGTAAAATGAGCCTTTGTGGTCAAGCTTTCATTGTCTTTGAGCCAACAAGTTAGCGAGTAAACACACAAATCCCGAATTGTGTTTTCTGTAGTCTTTAAATATTGCGATGACAAATAATGTAGAGCCAGCAGCTGATTCAGATGCATAGGGGATTGCACAGTGCCCGAAGCAGGCCTCCTGATGTAACCTTAAAGGATAACACGCATACTGAGTCACTGCAAACATTTCTGAAGAATGTGTCGTATGTAAAATCTTGCGATGAAATACATCGGCACCGACAGAAGCGACGTTTTGGCCAAGATGGCCATTCGCAAACACTTTACGCAAAAGAAGAAGTATTGTACCTAACACGACGCTGAAGGGCTACCTGTGACTCAGGAAATGCTGGCCGAGTGACAAGGTGCCTTTCCATCTCCTCTAGCGATGTAAATTAGCCACCTAAGCACGCAAGGGCCATCTTATGACATCTTTTGCAATTTTCATTCATCTATGAACCTACACAATAAGGCATTCGGCATCATCTTTCGTCATACGAAGGTCCCTAAAGCGATCGCAGGGTGACTGGTGACTGCATGTTCTAGCATTTCATTCCGCTGAAGGGAATACTAGAACTTGCCAGCCTTCTTCATGGAAAATCTGGAATCGACAGATGTTGAGAACATTTGGTCTGCTGTTATTGATGAGGCCATCCTTCAGCAGATTAAACCCTTGGGCCTCATGTCTGGAAATAATTATGAATTCGAACCCTCATGCCGGCAACATACGACACCGCATCAGCGTAACTCGACAACGGAACCATGTTGGCCTCCAGACAATCATCAGACCAGTGAAACAAGCCTACTAGCGTTCAAAGGCAGAAGAAAACACTGGCAGCTAAGCATATGGGTCGCGATGTTCAGTTTACTGCTGATTGGACCATGACGGCGTTCCGTAACTCTCCACTGGTGACCCACTCAGCCCTCCCCCACTCCCAGCGCCGGTGGGCGAACCTCTCTCCACTGGTGACCTGCCCCGCCCTCCCTAACTTCCAACGCCAGTGGGCGAACCAGCCGGCGCAGGTGAATCTCTCTTCACTGGTGACCCACCCAGTCCTCTCCCCCACTCCCGAACCAGCCGGAGCGGGTGAACCTCTCTCCACTGGTGACCTGCCCCGCCCTCCCCCACTCCCAACCCCGGTGGGCGAACCAGCCGGCGCACGTGGTCCTCTCCTCTTCCCGTGGGAGGGGGGGGGGGGGGACTGCTGCCGCTCTGTCAGTCCTGGCGGCGGCTCAGGTCCGCCGGTCGAGCCGACACTAACACGGCGGGAGTAACCGATCAGGCGAGGGTGGCCCGCCATCTGTCGGCCGCGCCCCGCCCCACGCTCGGCGGCCGAGCGCGCGCCGCCGGTGCTAGCGCCGTCCCGCGCCCACGCGAGTGATGACTCGCCCGGAGCGTGGGCGCCGGCGGCGCGGCTTCACGCGATCCGAGCCCACAACGTGCCAGCCGCACGCAGGCCAACAATCAGCCAACGCCGACGAGACCGATGGCGGTGGGAGGGGGGGGGGGCCGCGGGGGGGCGCATTCGGACAGCTGGCCAAGGGGCAAATAGAGGGGAGCGACAGCATGAGAGAGAGAGAGAGAGAGAGAGAGAGAGAGAGAGAGAGAGGAGAGAGAGTCGAGTTAGGAGAGAGAGGAGAGAGAGAGATTGATAGAGGGAGAGAGAGGAGAGTAGAGAAGAGAGCGAGAGAGAGAGAGAGAGAGAGAGAGAGAGGGAGGGAGAATTATTATTAATAGTTGGTATACTCTTTTGGTATAAATCCATGTCTTATCAAGCAAAGACTGTGTAAGTTAAGACTATGAGTACAGACGATCCACGTTTTTGTGGTAGATGTAATGACGTGTGTACGTTTTTTGAAGGATACAGTTCGTCGTATAGCTCTGATACCGTGCATGAGTATTTGCAAAAGCAGTAACTTCGCGTATATGTCAGGCCTGAATAATATCTTGCAACAGAAACAAGGTAGCACATAAATGATGCCGTAGCACTCCTGTCGTTATGAGTTGATAATGGAGTACTAATGTCGTAATAACACCAGAGCAAGGTATTATGATGAGACCCAAATCTTAATTGCTTCTAGGCACCTTTTCTGCCTCACCATTTTTTTCCGCTCTTTAGAAGATTTATTAAGGCGGATTATTTGTGCCAGCTGCTGTGGTCAGGAGTCTTCGGGTCACAAGATCCTACAGATGAAATGCGTGGTGACTGGTTGCTTCACAACGACGATACAGTAAAGTCCGCAGCCATGGTATTTAAACAAGGGTCCGAACCAGGAACCTGTAATTTTGACGCTATTGGCTCCGCTACGACGTCCACATTTTTTTTATTTTATTCCACTGTTTACAGGGACGACAGATGAGTGTGATGATGAGCCACGCCTGCTTCAGCAATGGGGCCAGGCAAAGGGCACGGAACACCCTCCTCCCATACGGACACCACTCCACGTCGTTCAGGCTGGAGCTCCTCGGAGATCGTGCCACAGCTGTACTCCCATTCACACGGGCTTGGTGTCTTCCCTCCCAGAGCGTTAAGCCGGTTCCCAGCCGGTCCATGCAGACTGGCCTCACAGCCTGCGAAGCTAACGTGACTTTTGCAGGCTACTCGCATGCCGAAGCAGGCCTAAGGAGATCCCAGAGCTTCCAAGCTCGGCAGAGTATTATGATTTAGTGGGCTCGACTGAGCCTTCTCCAGACGGTCTGGTGCGTTTGCATTCTCACGGAATCAGCACCACCATCCTTCCCAGGGTAGGACTGTAATCGGTGTTAGTCAGAGTCTTCACTAACCCGCGTGCTGCGAAATCAAATGGCTGGTAAAATCACCCATCATAAACCAAGCTCACCCGTCGTGCTTCAGCCTCTTTCCACAAAATAAACTTTCCGACAGAGCGCGAATCGGTGCCGAACATCCGGCCCGGCCCGCCAGCGAAAGGCCGGCGGGGTGGCGGCGGGCCTCGAACTCACGGCATTTGCCCGCAGCTGTGACGCGCACGTCGGTCCTGGTGTGGCAGGCGTGAAGACGCAGCTGGCACCGGTTGTAGTAGGTGTTGCCGTCCGAGCCGCACACCGGCTCGTAGCGGGTGGGGCAGGGCTTGGGGCACGCGCAGGCGGCGATACCGTCCGGCCCGGCCCGGCACTCGCCACCGAACGGACACGGGTCCGGACAGGAGCCTGTGGAAGAAGGGGGCGGTAAGACCACCCGGCACTGCACAGTGACCGGGAAACCGGGCAAGTCAACAAACAGCCGCTGGACGGTCAGTGGAGCGCGCCGGCACTCAGCAGACATCCCGACATATGTACAGACATCCCGACATCCCGACATTGTACACAAGACAGGATCAGACAGCCGCTGGACGGCCAGTGGAGCGCGCCGGCACTCAGCAGACGTCCCGATCTTGTACACAAGACAGGATCAGACAGCCGCTGGACGGCCAGTGGAGCGCGCCGGCACTCAGCAGACATCCCGACCTTGTACACAAGACAGGATCAGACAGCTCTCAGATCTCAGACAGGTCAGACTGGAAGGTCCGGGGAGCCCACCGGCACTCACCAGACATCCCTGCCCCGCACGCAAGACAGGATCAGACAGCCGCTGGACGGCTAGTGGAGCGCACCGGGACACAGAGCTCAGTCCACCGGTCGGGTCGGATGGTAAGTTCAGGCGACGTCAGTGCAGGCCAGGCGGCCGATGGGCCGAAAACACAAGCTGCAGAACGTACACAGCTCGATCGTAGCTTGGTGCCAGCATTCAGTGGATTGCAGCGGTTGAATGCAGACGGGAAGGTAAGTGTTAATCAACAGAAGTCATGCAATGAGGCATTTCGATTCTTCGGCATTAATGCATTTTTGTTCTTCGCTTTCAAACCACGACGCATTTTCTCCGGCAGAAATACTTGAGACAAATATTAGCCAAAACAAATTGTGCTTGTTTTCAGCTTAAAATCACATAACAAGTTACCAGCCAGATGGGCTTCTGTTACGACTTCCAAACTTTTCTTGTTCGAACCGCCCGCCTGGTTGTTATCCGAAGCTGAATTAGAGCCACTAAAATAACACCGAGCGACAAGTGCTGGGAAGCGCCAAAATTGAGCTCAGTGTGGAACTGAAAGCTGGCGCTGGCGTGAAGTGCAGTTTCCGCGATGTTCTGCCACTTTGTAAAATGTGAAGGGTCATCTGCTGCAAGGAGAGGAGGCTGATGTGGCGAAGTAATTCACAAAGCTGGATTCATTGTGGCACCACTTACAGCCAGTTTTGCTCGTCATCCAGATGGTCGCACAGGCCATGACTCAATAAAGGGACCATTTTGTCACCTTAAGGTTATCCGTTTTGGATGGGCGGTTTCGTCATAGCTAGTAGGTAAATACACGAGATAAAGAGAAGGATTTGGCACTAGACATGCGCCAGAAATCAGCTGTATATGCTTGTAGCCAGCACAGACAGAGGGATTTATGTCGCTATTATGTTAGGTATCAAACATCTAGACCGGCGCGTTTTGATTGGGCTCAACCTTTGACGAGCGAGTTTGACCATTTTGTTGAGATCATGTTGGTCGCATTTCGCGTTCAGAAACTTGATAGCACACGTTCATAGCAGGCTACACATTCTAAAAGGGGTTCCTGTATTGATATGATGTATTTTATCACAATTTGTGGCGATCTAGTTTTCTGCAATGCAATAAGATCAGGTCTTCAGAGGTCAAGCTATTTAAAATGTGCCAAATGAAATCAACAACTAATCAGAATGACTTGATATCTTTAAACACAAGGGAAAACGACACCTTAAAGGCAACATTAAACTATGTGTTAGGCATGCTGCTAAGTGCTATCCATCGCCATTCGTTGCGCTGCGCATTGTGGTGTCGTTTTAGCACACACAACATGTGTAAGGAATTAACGTCTGTTCTTCACTAGCAGGCAGTGTTGGGTGTGTGCAAGGGGTATACATACTTTGTTTCGCTGCCCTTCATGAACCTGCTAACCACTCACAATCTATTATTAACCTCCTAACTAATGGTAATCACTTCATTAACCTCCTAACCATTCATAATCAGTATACAAATTAGCATCAAGATTATTCATTATTTAAACATGTATTGCGATTTGCCAAGGCAACCTAAAAAGCTAAATAATAAATTGACGCCTCCTATTTCTTATTCTATTCTTATCATTTGTATATCTTGGGCTTAGATGTTACGCGACAAGTGTTAGCAGTATTTCACGTAAGCTGCTCGGGTAAGTAGAAGTCTTGCTTCAGATAATGCCACCATCGGCTTGAGCAGCATCACCCCTTAGCGTCCCGTACCAGTTTCAGTATTTCCCCAGTCCTTGCAATGCTGGTGACTTCGGGAAATATGCCAGTAAGTCGGCATTCACAGCTGGGCACGTACTTGTTTACAGTCATTTCACGTTTCAATATCCGAGGGAAATCTCTAAGGGCCGTAACCAGTCGCGTGGACATGGTCTGTACGCATGAAGGGTCCATTTGAAACAGAATATCCTGAACTTGTTTACAAGACATACGAGCTCAAGATTGAAACCAGCTCCATCGAATCGACCCTGATTGACTGAGGACCAACGTTTACCGACTCAAGTCGGGGACAAGAAGCTGCATTCGACGCAGAATGCTGCATGAAACCTCTGTATGCCCCGCAAGGCGGCGTGCCCAGAAGTGTGTACGCTGTTGGCACTGTGCCTGGGTTGAGGCGCGCTGGCGGGTGTTATTGGCCCCGCCGGTGCACTGGTGAGCTGTTAGCCCGGTTGGAACTGGTAGTGCAGGCATCGGTCATCCTAGCTACGCAGCGACTGGCTGCACACTGATGAGTTGTTCGTGGGTTGTTACCGCAGTTTGGCAAAACAAGTTAGACAGCACACGTGCATCGTCTCAGGTCAGGTCGCTAGTTTGTTTGGATTAGAGCCCTTTCGGCCAGTTATGGACCGTTGCAGGTCTACGGGATGAACGTGAGGGGATAGCGGGGGGGGGGGAGGGGCAGGAATACACACGCCCTGGGATTCCTCCGCCGGGCCATAGCCCGCACAGGGACCTCTGTTCGGGATTGATGTTTGGCGTTCGGGCGGGTCTCCACCAGGGGAGCTTGGGCAGGGGTAATGCCAGGATTTAGGATGAAGCAAGAATGAGCAAAGTAGAGCGGATGTATCGTTCCGGTTGTCTAAGGATTGGTGATACTCTGGTGCGTCCTCCCATCATGGTAGAAACTGGTGGTAAGCTAATAAATTGTTCCAATTCCGTTCGGTTTTCTGGAAACTTGATAAGTTATCTCAGCACAGTGGGAGCTCACTTCTCACCGTCGAATTGTCTGTTGGGACGAGTGTTACACAAATGCCTGTCACAGCTCCACAAATTGACACTGCTCGGCAGTTTTCCAGTCATGCTATTTGCGAATTAGCACGTCTATTCGCCTCGGTTAATCTTTTCAATTACTGTACATTCCTCCAAAGCGGACGTTCTTTTGTCGAAGTGAGATATATCGACTTGGGTTTCCAAACTTGTCTGACCCAATTTCCTACCTTCCTTATACAATATACCTGATGACAATGCTTATTGCTATCTGTCTTCATCTGACTCGCACACAACGCACCATGCATCCGACTGGTATTACGGCCGAGAGGGAGCCTTTTGTGGGAACTGGCGGCACACTGGTGCAATGTTTCAGCTCTCTTGGGGCTGCTAGTACTCGTCTGGGCTCTCTCAGCTCTGTGGTGGCTGGTATTACGCCGTCGGGATGACAATGGAGCACCCGGCGCCCTCGCGCTCCACACGTCACGTCAAGAAGTGCTGTGTTCCGGTGCCGTCTCCGGCGCGGAGATGGCCACTCCGGCGGCGTGGCGGCGGCAGGCGGAGATGGCGACTCCGGCGGCGGAGATGGCGGCTCCGGCAGGCGGAGATGGCTACTCCGGCGGCGTGGCGGCGGCAGGCGGAGATGGCGGCTCCGGCGGCGGAGATGGCAGCTCCGGCAGGCGGAGATGGCGACTCCGGCGGCGCGGCGGCGGCAGGCGGAGATGGCTACTCCGGCGGCGTGGCGGCGGCAGGCGGAGATGGCGACTCCGGCGGCGCGGCGGCGGCAGGCGGCCTCCGTGCCCGGCCGTGATCTCAAGCCGACTTCTCGACCCGATCAATGTTGGGGCCACAGACGATGGATGGTCTGAGACGGGGGCAGGGGTGTGAACTGCATTCATTTGGGGCTCAGAGTGGCTGTCGGGCCATCCGACAGTGCCGTTCAGCCCAGTCGTCCAATCTTCAGTCGCGAATAGGTACGCAGACGGACCAGCCAGCGGCTAGAACGTCCGCTGACAGTCTTGTGATACACGTCTTGGTTCTGCTTCAGCGAAATCGATTCCGTCGCTGAATCAGAGTGTGTCGAGTCAATCCCGTCTCTGACGTCGCGTTAGGCCAGTGTAATATTGAGTCCGTCCTGATTTCGACTCCAATTGCATGTCATTGCATCAGGAAAGGCACACATTATGTCGTTATCTCGTACACTTTTGCAATGCACTCTAATTATTGTTTCATGTAAGCTGGTTGGGAAAGGTTGTCTGAATTAAAGCTCATTCGGAATGGACGATAACAAGGGAGCAGATGCTGTTGTGGAAAGCGTCGAAACATGTACATTTGGTATTATTCACCTATATCTTTATCGCGTTCAACGACCATTTCTTGGGTATATGCCGTTCAGTTCCAAGATATAATCGATCGAGCTGCAAAAGAAACCGTAGGCATGGAAGTAAACAAATGTCTTATAATGTCAAGTGCTTATCGTCACGCTCCAGCGGCACCTGCCAGTATAATACCATACCATCTACACATCCAGAGTCCAAACAGGCCAGTGGACCAAACCCGCCCCCACCCGCCATGCGTCAAGAATCGACACAAGCCACGAGAGAACTTCTGCATGGGACTGGTGACCCGCCGACGAGACGAGGTCTTGCCCCAGGACCAGCTGAGACCAACGCCAGGACCAGTTGGTCTCAGGACCAACCAGGACCAGCGGAGCCACTGGTCACATGGAGGACGCGGCATCTGGACCGCACTTCAGATTACCTTTCAAGCCCCTGCTGCCGGTGTGTCTGGCTACCCGGTGGTGCCGGCGGCTGCCCTCCCCCTCCCCCATCCATCGACGCCGGCCGGTCGACCGCTGCTGGGTCAGCGGAGTGTAGCCGTTTCTCGGGGGTGGCGCTGGGGCCGCCAGAATGTGGGGTTCAGTGGTACCCGCTGCCGCCCAGGGACCGACCAACGAATCGGCAAGCTGCTCACTAGTCTCTCCTCTCTCTCTCTCTCTCTCTCTCTCTCTCTCTCTCTCTCTCTCTCTCTCTCTCTCTCTCTCTCTCTCTCTCTCTCTCTCTCTCTCTCTCTCTCTCTCTCTCTCTCTCTCTCTCTCTCTCTCTCTCTCTCTCTCTCTCTCTCTCTCTCTCTCTCTCTCTCTCTCTCTCTCTCTCTCTCTCCTCTCTCTCTCTCTCTCTCTCTCTCTCTCTCTCTCTCTCTCTCTCTCTCTCTCTCTCTCTCCCTCTCTCTCTCTCTCTCTCTCTCTCTCTCTCTCTCTCTCTCTCTCTCTCTCTCTCTCTCTCTCTCTCTCTCTCTTTACCAGGCGTATTCCGGACAAAGGATCGCACAGCAGAGGTTTATGCAGTTTACAAAATCTTCAAATGCACATGGAAATTGCGATAACTCAGGGTAAACGAAAGCACTATTCTCAACCAAAAACCCATACAAAAAGGAAAAAGAAAAGTCGTTTGCACGGTTATCACCAAACAATTATGTGATAGGTGTTGTCCTAATGAGTGAAACCCATAACATAGCATATACCCTTGTCGCAGGCACATCGCGCCCTACTACACCGCTGTCATCATGCACTTAGTTTATGAATAGGTTTTTTTTTCTTTCGTCTGCGTTAGTGCAAATGCACACTGGGGTCTCAAAAACCTATTTTTGAATGCGTGTCTAAATGTGCGTTCACGCAAAGTCGATGTCACTGGTCTAGGCCCAACCATGTGCATTGTAGTTACGCTTTCCTGTTTATTTTGTGCATGTGTACGTAATGGATAAGATGAGCTTGACTTTATCAGCGCACCTTGCTCCACAGACAGAATTTCAAACAAATTCGGACTGCAGCGTCTTCAGAAGTGTTAATTATGCAGGAGCGCTAACGTTGTTTACTCAAAGGGAAGCTCCGCAATAACAATCTGAAGGCAATATCCGCTGGGGACGGAGATGAATGAAACCGAATTGGCTTGGTCGATATTCCGTCTTCCTATGGCAGCCAGCATAACTCTCATCAGTTTGGCACTGTCAACCGAATTTCGGAATTCGTCGTCACAAAACCTGTCACTGGGGTGAAACAGCAGAACATAGGGAAATACATTCAATAATAAAAAAGGATGCAAACACTACAACAAACAAAACCGTGTTTTATACCAGTGTGCGTGAAAAGTAGCGTATGTATTTGGCATCCAGTCCGCGTATGATAAATTAATCATTTTTTTAAGCAAAACAGAATGCCAAAACATTAAGAATGACCTCTGTCTCTGTCTCTGTCTCCGTCTCTGTCTCTGTCTCTGCCTCTCTCTCTCTCTCTCTCTCTCTCTCTCTCTCTCTCTCTCTCTCTCTCTCTCTCTCTCTCTCTCTCTCTCTCTCTCTCTCTCTCTCTCTCTCTCTCTCTCTCTCTTCCTGAAAACATCTTTTAAACCAAAGCTCGTCAACATCCGTGGGAAGGGCGATTTGTGCTGTCATTTCTACATAGCATTCGAGCAACTATTTTGATCATAAAACCGTTTCATATCTTACACTGCGTTCGCTCTCCCTCTTTGCGAACTAACCTTTGATCGTGCTACGGGACTCCAGCGGCAGATCTGAAACAGAAAGTATTTGGTTAGCGCTCATACTTTTTATTCAGGCCGAGACATTGGTGCATTTCGAACCCGAGACAACCAGACTGCATCTAGAGTAAATCATTGCAGCAATATTTCACAGTAAACAAGACAGTTTCGCCCCTTTCAGAGGCATCAGAACATTTTTCAGAAGATATAGGATTATCGGGCACATCCATGGCACTAAGTCAACCAATGGCTTTCGTCGTACTATCCTCTCACCACATGTTTGCGAGCGGCCACTCACTCCCGCACAACCATTCAATGCGCATTCTAAGCCACTATCGCTGTGTCTTCAGAGACACCACAGAGGTCTCACCCGACAAAGTGTATTTAACCCAAACCTGTGGTAGCCTCACTTCGTCCACGGGGGACTAACGTGGCGCCGTAAATATTTTATAAACACGCAAAGCAGCCCAAGGTCTATTGACTTTTAATAAGACCTTGTTCTGAGGCGAATAAGCCTGAGCTCAACCGTGAATCTTTGCATGCAACAGCCACGCAGCCAGCCAGTCTGGTAAATATGTTCCGAAAATACGGGTAATTTTCATGTTTAACCGGGTACAAGCATAAGTTACTTGTTCTGTCTATGTTGTCAGCCTATTTTGCTGATGCTGATGACGGAAAGTCATGTGTCAAACCAATATTCTTCAAAACTATGATTTTATCAAACTGCCATCATGTCTGATTAAAAAACTATTTGAAATCATGAGCCATTTAAGAAATTGCAAGTGAAGATAGCAGTGCATGATGTATATGTTAACAATAAGATAACTTTTGAGGGAGGGCAAGATAAGATAAGTTGAGAGATGCTAAATAATGACAGACGTGATTGATGTCATTTAGATGGTACCGAAACATAAGCGAACAGGACCCACCGCCTTTGGGAAGTCATGCAAAGATGGCTGGGGGAGTCGGGCTCGAGCTTGCAACCCGTTTTTAAAACCATCTAATGTCTTGAGTAGGTTGAATCCGGCCGGTAAATATATGTACAGGCAAACTTTGGTGTTTAAGAAATATGTGCGCAGCACTCAAGGAATGTACCTACAACAGTAATCTAGCATCAGACGTGAAAACAATATTTCTCACACGCGTGCTTTTATCCGATGTGCCGGACGATGCAGATCCGACCCGACGTGCCGGACAACGATGCACGTTTATTGCGTTTTTGTTGCGTGCGTTGTACGTCTAATGTCCACAACAAACCTGCACTGTGACTTTGGTGCAACTGAACACATTTTAGTCTGCGAAATGCCTTTACTACGCTTCCGCCGGGTGCGATTCGTATACGTCCGCTTGCTATTGCGCAACAGACCGACCAGGTTTAGCAGACCAGATCTCTAAGAATGTCATGGCACAACTGACTTGGTAGTGTTTTTTTTCTTGTCACCGGCGTTAGTTAAGTCTTTCACGTGACTGACAGTAAATACCAGGTGGAAAGAAACACGTGTCCTGCTTTAATAAGCGCATGGCAGATCCCAGAACCACACAAGTGGTGTCATTAGAGCACAAGAACATAAGCATACGTTTTAATCATTTGACCCTGTATTATGTCAGTGCCTGAGCAAATACTGCACTCTTAACCAGACCCCTCACCACACACGCGACAGTGCGGCATGAACATGTTACGGGATGGCGAACAATTACCAGCACCGTTCACAGAAGCCAGCACAAAAGTTGCTATGCCAATGCAAATACAAGCAACATCGTTGATGCTAAAAAACCTGATAAAAAGTCGTAAAATCTGACATTGCTGATGTTCTGTGCCTTTGCTACAGTGAGCCAGCTAACCAATCCGGTTTTGGTCCGCAGTTTGGAGGTGATGTTTAATGGACCGACATTGCTCACATCGTTCCACCGTGCTGCAGGCCGGTGCTTGCTATTGGTTTTATGGTGCTGTGGCGCCGGCGTGATGCTAAGCAGCTGAAACGACAATTGTGCGCAATTGGAAGCAGTGTACTATTATTCGTTTTCTCTCACCACGCCATCGCAATGATATCCGCGCATGAGTTCCCCAGGGGAAGGCGCACTGAGTGTGATGTGCTATTTTGGTCGAGTGTGGTTTCCTGGCATGACTGCGGTGAAGTCAATGGACGTCGGGGAGGGGTTTGCGCAGGATTGTGCGTGGTAAACAGCGAACGCTGATGGTGTCACCTCGATTGACTGTTTTACTATCCGTTAGTAAGTAATCAGTGCCATGCCCTGGCTTTCCTGGTCGTAAAGGTCTTAACATTTTTCCCAGCTGAGTTCTTCAGCCTCTTCGAAATTTAAAAGTGTGCATGTCCATTATCACTTGAAACAGGATGCGAACCGCTGCCGACACTGCAACGTCGCAGAAATACACCGCCTGTTTAAACATGACCGTGCCCATATGCCATAGTGAAGTACAAGAAAATGTTTGAGGAATTGTTTCTCTTGTTCGAGAGGATTTCATGGCAGTGCAATCAGTCGTTTCAAAAAAAGTAGACCCGCCGGGAGCGTGACTGCCCGGGATGAGCTAGGGCGGACTAGGTGGCCGACATTAAGGAAGTGCTCCGCATTTATATGGGGTTTTAAACTGAAATAACCATTATGAGTACCGGTCCTGTTCACAATCCTGCCCTTTTTAAGACTTAAGCCCATCCAGTTTCTGAGCTAAACGCCCCTGAAAATGGGGAATGTACATCGGGTAGGGTATTTCAAAGTCACGTTGGCATTCTTGAGGCCATTGTAACGTTATTCAAATCCTCTCATTCCACGAACCGTGCTGCGATCAAGGCCAAGGGAAATATAATTGTCGAGGCGTTCATATCTGGCTATCGTGGGTGTGATTTCCAGATATCACTCCCGTCATTGGCTCTCAATCGATATTTTGCGAGGCACGGTAACGCAATCAAATCGTAACGCACTGAGGAGCATATTTGCTCAGCAGAATGTTGTGCTGTCTGGAGAACTCTTTTCCACTTAAAAAGTATACAACTAGATGTAAGTGAGCTTATTTCATCACAGGTGATGCTTACTTCAAGACCCTCAAATGTGAAACATTCTCTTTCCGAACAGCACGACGTAGCCACGCCATATTTTAACTAGTTACATATTATTGAACAGCGGATCCCTCCATTTAAACATTTTACATGTTCACAGCAAGGTCACTGACCTACGGCAGGTCAAGTCAGGCCATGGATTAAAAGAAGATAATTTCTAAGGAATCCTTCAATCTGATGGAACACCGGAGTGTTAGCCAAAGCCGTGCATCTCCCCGTGACCTGGCGTCACGTATGAAGGTCTCACCAACGTCAAAACCGACCTGTTTTGGAATCTAGAGCTTACTGTATGGATAGTTTCTGGCGCTTATTTTGAATTTATTGATAATAGGAACCGCATTATACATATTCTACGGAAATCTGAAAGATTAGAATAGACCATTGGCATAAAAGATCCCCGGTCAACTTTCTGTTTCTGGAAATATACCACCTAGCGTAATCCTTGACGCTTATCCAAATGCAAAACCAAAAGCAGTCTAATCTCCTTTTGGTCACCATGGCCTTTAAAGGTCAAACAATGTCATTGGCGTTTTTGAGCGCCAGTGATCTTCTGCCTTCCACAGGTATCTAGGTGCCTGGTGCTTGCATGGGAAGAAGGTCTGGGGACACTTTGGACACCAGTCTGGAGTTTGACCTTGTTTGACTTTATTTGAGCCTAGGTTCATAGCCTAGGAACTTCAAATTTGAACAAAAGGAAGTTCATGTACAGGTCAATGGAACATGTAAATTCGGTGGATAAGCTTTTAGCCTCTGATACATAAGAGGGTAAAATTGCCCCCCCCCCCCCCCCGCCCTCCTCTTGTGCGAAGCGTATTCAACCGGCCATCCGGGCAAGTGCTAACGGTTAGTTTGCATTAACGTTCCAGGCCTGTGGATTCGCATATTAATACATTAAGGTTCAAGAAAGAACAGCATAGATTTTGTTCGTCGGTCACTATATAACCATAACATATCGCCACGTCTCAGCTCGACAAACGGCTAATTACTAGTTTGACTGTAAGCCAAGCACATATCAAATAATAAATATGGTAAGCTACTGATTCCACTGCAAAACACACCGATTATGTGCGGTAATAGAGTATGAAAACGGCAAACCTAGGATCAATTTAGGAAGTCATCCAATAATTTTAACTTAATTTTAGCTTGCATTTAGATGGACATTTTCTGTAGTCCTATTACGATTTCTCAAAGATAAAGTTTCAGCCATCACGATATCGTTGGCAGACACATCCGTCCAGGATATCGAGCGGTCAGAAATACTGTTGTGCGCCGAAATAGATCGCCGACAGATCTCGAATGGCTTAGAGCTGATGAACGATTCCAATTCAAGAGCTCGCGTTGTTTTCGTGCCAGTTAAGGGCACATTCCATCTCAGAATATCCTTACACTCAAATAGCTAGTCAGGGATGTTAGGAACGCGACGAAGCCTCACCGGTCACCAGCTGGGCCATCAAACTAACTTTTTCTGTACAGGCAAATCACGTCCGATAAGCACATTGTGCGTAGGATTTGCCTTCTGGCCACTCTCAAAGTTCATGGTCATACTTGTGATGATCATGATAAGGTCCACGATCTAAAGGACTTATCTGATCACGATGCGCTCTGCCACGCTGAGGCCGATTACTGGCGTCACAACGCCGAGGCACGTCATGCAGATCATAAAGATGATACAGGTCCATTAATATTAGCAAACACTTGCTTGGTGGGGCGGAGGGGGGGGGGGGGGCGGAGGACGATGCTACCTAACTGTCCGCATCCTGCATTTCAAACGTGATTTTTATGCATTTATGTTAGTCAAAAAATTATGCAGCTGAAATGGCGCATTATGTTACCGAAATTATCTAACAAGTCCAATGGCGTAATGTAACACATAGTCGGGGTATCCTCAATTTCAGTCAGCCGTCATTTCAACAAAGATACGGAAGGTATCAATCACTGTTCACCGGATAAAAGAGTAAT